CAGCTTGGTTTTTCACCAGTCAGTCTTGCTTTTCTCAATTCTTGGCTCTTCTTGATGTCCCTCAGTTTTTCTTTTAAAGTTGGCTGATACCCTAAACCAAACATGTCACTTTTAGTTATAGGGTATATCAGACTCATCGATCCTTGCAATCGACGTCCAAGCCCTTTGCCAGGCTCCTCTTCCAAGAGTCCGTTTGAGTCTCATTTTGGTGCAGTTTGACAATCTAGGTTTTGGGATCTTTTTGCCTTCAGCTACAAACGTTGCATTAACAAAATCTAACGATCTGAAAGAACACTCAACAGCTTGTTCTTGCACTTCAACATACAGAGCCGTAGTCGAAACTGAAGCGATAATATCCTCTTCAGCGTGAATTCATATAAGCCTCCCATCAATTGCAAATTTTATGCTCTGGTGCAAAGTTGACGGGACAGCGCCGGCCTGATGAATTCAGGGTCTTCCCAACAAGCAATTGTATGTAGGCATGATGTCCATCACAAGAAACTCTACTTCATATATTACTGGACCAATAGTCAGAGGAATATCAATCTTACCTAACACCTCTTTTTTCGTTCCATCAAAAGCTCGAACCACACTTTGGCAGTTTCTCATTAGGTACTATCAACTGGTAGTTTTTTTAGGGTCACCAAGGGCATCACATTTAATGACGAACTGTTATCTATCAGTACTCTGGATAAAACGTGCCCTTTGCACCTAACTCTAATGTGTAGAGCCTTATGATTGCCAATTATCCCTAAAGGGATCTCGTCTTCAGAAAAAGATAAAAAGTTATCGGCTTGTATGTTGGCAACTAATCGGTCCAGCTTTTCTGTGGGTATCTCCTTCGGGACAAAGGTTTGGTCAAAACTTTTAACAAAGCGTTGCGATGAGCCTCTGAACTCAGAAGAAGTGATAGGACAGAAATACGGGCAGGCAGCTTGTGCAGTTGTTCAACAATACTGTATTCACTATGCTTCAAAAATTTTAAAAATTCCACCGCTTCATTCTCCGTTACCGGCTCATTGACGACGGGCTTATCTTCTTTTATCTGCACGTCAACACTTTTTCTTTTCTCGACGGCAATCTTCTTCTCAGGCTCTTTGTGATAACATCTACCACTCCTGGTCATGTGTCCCACTTCGTCTACTTCTTCTTGTTGCTTTGCCACCTCTCCTATTTGACAAGTATATCTCCAGGGCACCTGTTTATTATCTTTGTACGGGAACGGAGAGGGAGGTGTAATAATCACCTTTGGAGCTACCCTTTCAGCTACTCGATTCTTGGGAGTAATGATGAGGGGACGACTAGCACTGTATATTCCTTCAAATGACCCCTCAGAGGCGTAAACTTCTGCTTCTTCTCTTTCAGCCACTTCTTTGAAAAACTCGATTTCTTTATTATTCATCATTTCTTGCACCAGCTCCAAGAAATCAGGACAATGTTGTGTAGTGTGTCCTATGTCGTTATGGTAGAGGCATATCTCTTCATTATTGAAGAGCTCATGCGGAAGACTGGTCTTTAATAGTCCTACTTTAACCATTTGGCACCACACCCAAGACATTGGGGATACCACCTCATTAACATTCTTTATAGTCCTCTTTCCTCTCTCTTCAGTGACGACGTTAATCCCGGCTCCTGCATGGTTTGGCAATGGATTCTGGGCTATGCTGGGCTGTTCGTTGTCACCAAAATTGATGACATTTCTTCTTCTCAGAGCTTGGACGACCTTTTTGAACGCGGGACAATTTTCAATGGAATGTCCGGCCCACCCCCGCATGATATTCACAGTTAGCACTAGCATCATACTATTTGGGATAAGGGGGTTGTATAGGGTCTACGTGATACGGTGAGACCACATGTCGTTCGTATAATTCATGAAATAAATCCTTATAGGTCATCAAAATTGGATCAAATTGAGGCCTCTCTCTTATTGGATCCCTTGCCCCTTGTTTGTTATTATTTTGGGATGGCGTTGTCGTCCCCTGAGGTCGAGAGACTGTGATATTATGGGAATCATATTGCCTTACATTGCTAACCTCGTTTTCCTTCTTTCTCATCGGAGGTTTCTTGTTGGACTCTCCTCCTTCGAGTTTCCCACTTTTGATCGCCATTTCAATCATTTCTCCCGTTTTAACTAAATCAGCAAAACTTCGAGAAGGATTATCGTTTTCCTTCACTGCTATCTCCCTCCACCTCTGAGCTTATTGTCTAAAACTTTCACTATGCTTCTTCTCCATTGCTTGCAACACCATTCTATTTGGCCTGACATCCTTCACATGTTTGTACTGATCAAGAAATAATTTGGCCAGGTCTTTCCACGACTTAACATCAGCTCTTCTTAATTGATTATACCACCGTAATGATGAACCATCCAAGCTTTCTTGGAAACAGTGGATCAGTAGCTGATCATCCCCTATATACCCAGTCATTTTCCTGTAAAACATCGTAATGTGGGCAGAAGGGCATTTGGTACCGTCATATTTCTTGAAGTCAGGAGTCTTTAATTTTGGAGGTAGGATCAAATCGGGAACTAGACTCAATTCCTTAGCGTCAAGTCCGTACAGGCTGGTGTCTTCTTTCATAGCTTGAACTTCACTGGCTAATTGTTTATATTGCTCTTGTAATAGCTTGTTTTCATTCTTCTTTGCTTCCTCATCAAGGTCCAGGACCGGGTGATACGGATTTTCCTCGCGATGTGAACCAGATCCCGGTTGTAGGTTCTCAAAGGCGCCAACAGGGTTTATGTGCACTCTGGTAGGGACAGTGGTTCCTTGGATGTTTTGAGACTGTATCGGGGTGAATCCTGGAGGATAAAGTGGGTCTTCAGTTCTTTGCTCAGGGGCCTTCCCATGTTCCGGATTTCTCTCTCCCAACATACTTGCTAACCTAGAGAGCATATCATTTTGAGCGTTGATCAGGTCTTCCTGTATTTTCTTGAAATTCTCCTGCAACTCTAGCTGAGTCTTTTCAATTTGAATAATCTTATCTTCCATTGATCTCTTTCTTGTGTTGTATAGATGCTTAGAAGGTCCCAGTATTTCTCTGTTACACAGTCCTTTTGTTAATGTTTGTATCTTATTTAATGAATATGAAGTATATAATATGAATGAATAAAGTGCGATATAAGAAAAATAAAAATGCATTATGAAAACAATAAAATGATGTATATGCAAAATGCAGGGTGTTGATCCTGGAGCGATTCCTTAGAACAACTCTTTATATTAGAAACGACATTCGATTACAAGGTTAAAACATATCATGGATAAATCTGCACTGTTTCCCCTATCTGTTGCACATGGACTAGCAATTCCAAGATCTTCTCGTTTTCTTCCGCCTCAGGATCCAGCTCTCCGCCTATAGCAGTAGCTTCTTGAGATAGATCGACCAAATACTGTGTGATCCCCCGAGCATGCCCTAGGTAACAAGCGATAAGGTCTTCTCCTCGCTTGGCTTTCGCCTGGGCTCGCTCCCATCGAAAACGCCACTGAGCATCCCCCTCATAAGGAACTATTGATAACTCACTTGATTGACTCTGGAACTCGTGAACCATAGCTTTGAGCTCACTTACTCTTCCTTTTAGACTTTCGACTTCTCCGCGACTCGAGATACCCTCCTGGTTCCAGTACCTTCGTAATGCAACCTCTAAACTCGAGATCTTCCCTGTCAACTTCTCACTCTGGGCTTCACTTTCTTGTAATTGCTGCTCTAAACCACTTCTTTCTTTTGACAAACTCCTAACCTGATGCCTGCTTCGCTTAAGCTCTTCCTGACTCTCCTCGGCTACTCTCTTCAAGCTCGCCACCTCCTGTCTCCACTCGATGGATGATTTGCTTGAACTAGAAGCTGTCTGATCTTTCACCATTCACTGATAAGTTGACTGAAGATAATCAAAATCTAGCCGCAGTTGCCTCTCCATTTTTTCAGCTTGATCGCTCTACTTTTTTGGATATCGATCTCTAATCCTTTCTGATACGCCTCATCTTCTAGCTTTTGCAGAGTAGCTCTCCACTGTCTCCTCTCCGCCTCAAAATCGCGCTTAGCTAGCTCTAAAGTAGATGCACTATCCTCAAATGTTCTTCCATGGGTTGGACGTTTTCAGGATTCACCGTCAGGATGTTATCGTTTACTCGATTGCTTCTCCACTGCTCATACTCTGGTGATAGCTCGAGATCAAAGGTGAACAGATTTACCCGACGAGCTTGCTTCCAGGCTACAGCTACCCCTTTGACTCTGCTCTTGTACTGATCTCCCTTGAACGCAAAATCTGATCCTAACAAGTCCTGTGTAACTGGAATGAACTGTCTTGACCCAAATTTCCTGGAAACTAGCAGAGGTGCATATCCAACAGAGCCCCATATACCCAGCTAGGGGTGTAAACGAGCCGAGTCGAGCTCGAGTATTGCCAAGCTCGACTCAAACTCAAAAACTTTAAATGTAGGCTCGACTCGACTCGAAAACTCGCGAGCCTAAAATTTTCAAGCTCGACTCAAACTCGAAAGATAATATTGAAACTCGACTCGAACTCGAAGAGGCTCGAACTAAAAAAATTCAAGAGCTCGATTGAAGCTCGAGACTCTAGCTCGATTTTGAACTCGAGTCAAGCTCGAACTCAAACTTGAATTTGAGCTCGATTCAAGCTCGAACTCGATTCAAGCTCGAACTCGATTTAAGCTCGAACTCAAACCTACAAAAATCTTATATTACATTTAAAATATATAATAATTTTCTCTTTAATCAACCATCACAATACATTATAATATGAATGTATAAAATATAAAAATCTAAAAAATAAAAATACAATTACAAGAAATTTAGGATAATTAATATAATCTTTGAAGTTTTTTTATAATAATTATTACTATTATTATTACTCATGTTTATTATATTAACATATGGTGCAAATCCACCAGGAGGAAGCCCGAGACAGTGTGCCGCCCACGTGAACCCACCGAGGAAGACCCATGCTGGTCGGCCATCCACTGAAACCAATGCATCCACCAGGAGCAAACAACTGTGCCAACTGGCCGTTACAGGATGATAGAAGTTGGACTACCTCAGGGTTCAATGCATATCGGTTCTTATCCAAAAAGCAATTAGTATCATACAGCACCTGGGAGAACTCGTAAAACCAATAATCATATAAGCATTGTGCATTGCCATTTTATTAGTTTGCAATACCATTTGAATCAACTTGCAAAAATTTCTTGAATATTACTCACTTTCTTGATTATTTTCCTTTGAAATTGAAGGAAAGGAAAATTCTTAAAAAGAATTTCTTACTGTCCTCAAAATACAAATAACTGACCTCTCCTGCAAAATGTCGAACACCAAAGGCCCTGCCTCTATCTCCTCTAAAGCAAGAATTAGAATTCAGGTGCAGCCTCAACTTATTAGCAAGGGTAAAATCAGTTGAATTGGGTAAATTTGATTCCTCATCCAGCAAGGAAAGTAGCCCTAAGGGCTTCTGCAAAATAAATACCAGAAAGGAAGAATGACAGATTGCCAAGGAACATTTTGGTTTCAAATGAAACGAGATATTAAAAGAAAATAAAAATTTCAGCCAGAATTAGCACCAAAGCTAGGCCAACATACTTAATAACAAGCTCAATTTATAGCTACCATCTTAGAAGTAACTATGGAATACACAAGATCCACATGTTACACAATATACAGAACAGAACCCAGAAATCCTTAAAACAATCCAAGGAACTCCAAATAAACCTTCAAGACAAAGAAACCATTGAACCATCAAATTACCTTCTCAAATAGGTCCAAGCACTCTTGGTTGTCTTCAAAATCAACTTTGGTCCAATCAATCCCATCCAACTCATACTCCTGAAATAAGAAAAAGAAACTCTTAACAATGGGAAGTTGGTCGAAATTGTAATTTCTGATAATGGAAACCAAATCCAGAGCAAGAATAGACAACTCAACCAGATTATATAGAACTTTTGGTTTGAAATTATACAGAGTACTAGAGTCCCAACTCAATTATACAGAAATTGTACATAAGTCAAAAACTCTTGAAATTAAAAGATTTGAGTTGCTTACCTCTTGCTCAAGCTTCAATAGGTGCCGGATGAAGTGTTGTTGCAACCTCTCCTTTGCATAATTTACACAAAGCTGCTCAAGGCTATTCTTCTGAAAATCAGATGAGAAAATTATCAGTTGGACAAACTGAAAATTCACAGTGATAAACTCTAAACACCAAACCCAAAACTACTTAAATGACTCAAACCCATAAATATCAAGGATGCTTATAGACCTGCCAATGTGTTTTTTACCCCCTTCAAGTGACTTGTTGATTTGTTCCACAAGCCAGTCAAATAAGCTTGCATAGATGAATTTTGCCAATGCGTTTCTTGCATCAATAGCCTATATTACAAATTAACTAATGATTATCATGCTGTCAATGCACACATAACAGGCTACAGCAAATATATAAACTGACTTTTGAGAGGATTGAGAAAGAATAGTTGCGTTAACAAAAACTGCACAAACCTGTTGCAATGTCAATTTTTTACAAATATTATCCCTGCCAACTCGGATTCTATGCGTAGATACAGCTTGCATTAGTTCATCTGGAGCAAAACCCATCAGCCTGGCAGCACTGGTTAAAGCTGCAACAAGGAATAAGATCTAACATAAATAAGCATCTTATAAAGACAACATAATAACAACAAGCACTTACATGAAAAACAAATGCTAACTAAAGATTTAACTTAAAACAGATTCAACAAAACAAGTTATTTTAGCAGGCATAAGACAAATGATGATGATGAAAATCATGGATTATGAGGTCTTCAGAGCACACATACCTTCATCGGCAGATGCCTCTAAAAGATTTTCTTTGTCAATTACTTGAAATGATATATTTCCCAACCATAAAACTACAGCAAGCATTGCAAATGCTTGCTCTTGCTCTTCTTTGCAAATTTGAACAATGTCCATGGCTTCCTGCAGAAAATATTGCTTAAAGGCCAATGAGACAAATTAAGCGGTTAAAAAAATTGCTACACTATTGATGGTACATAAATATAGTCTTTTGAATTTACCGTAAGCTTTTGGAATTTCTGAGCATCATTAACACCATTAATCACCAAGCACTCACTCTGGCCTAGATAGTTGTACTCATTAGTTGTTTTAAGATTCAATCTCTCTGCAAAGACACGATTCCAAGGATCATAAAAATGTTTCACAAATTCAATCCAGTTAACAAAAGACCTGTGGCAGGAATAACTTTAGCAACCCAGAGCTTTAAATGATATGATACAATATAATAACCCAAGAGGCATTTGAATAAGGGTTTACAATCACACCATGAGGTGTTGGTTGAGCCGCAGAGGACCATCGCTTATCACACCACTTACCCCGAAACTTGAAGCCTGGTTTCTGGAGCCCCATGTTCGATTTGACAGAAGAGAGTAAGCCTTAGCATCGCTTAGATCCACTTTACACCCTTCTACTTGACACCTTGGAGGCTGAGCCCCTTGCACCATTCCACTAGCCCTGCCCTTCCTACCCGACCCGGATAAGCTTGAAGACCCTTCACCAGACTTGGATGATGTCCCCATGATTGCAGTGGCGGATACGGTGGTGGAAAATGAGATCTTTTTCCCGGTGTTGAAGCCGTTGAGTGACTCGACGGAAGAGTTGGTGGCAGAACCGCCTGACTCAGTCAAAGAGCCCGAACCCATCTCCATGAGCTTTCCTAGTGCCCAACCATGAGGTTTTGCTTTTGTAGAAGTTTTTTATCTGGTTTACCCTATTGTATTAGGGTCTTCGCCAGAGAAGAAGAGGACCATCATGTTGAGAGTGGCGCCGTGTGTGCGTGAGAGGAAGAGATGAGATTTAGAGAGCTACCGAGAGAGGCTGTTGGAGAATAAAGGGGTTGTACGACTGTGTTTGGTATTTTGCGTGAGTTTAGTTTAGGTTTAGTTAAATTTAGGTTTCATATTAATTGTTTTGGTAAATTAAGTTATAATCCCTCAAACTTGAGCACCCTTTTGTAAATTCCTAATTTAATTTTTGATTTGTATGTTAAATTTTACGTTTATTTAAATTTAGTCATTAGTTTAATATGTATATGCATGTTTAATAAATTTATAGTTTGGTATGTTATATTTTAATTTTTGTATTTCAATCACATTTGTTTAAATTTTCTTATTTGTTTTAAATGTTCAGGTGTCATTTATGTTATTTTTCATATTATTTTAGCTTAAACCGAATAGGATCAACTGCACATAAGACCCTATAGTTTATGCGCATTTTGTATTTAAGTCATTGGTTTAATTCCAATTTTGTATATTTATTTTAGTCCCTATTTAGGATTGTTTTCTCTAATTAGTTATGTATATTTATTTTTCATGTTGATATGTTTATGCATAAGTATGCGAATGATTTATTTAGGAGTCACATAACATCTTTTTTCATAATTTGTATGTTACCTTCATGCGTATAACTTAAACCTAAACCTTAAACCCTAATATATAAACCCTAAACCCTAAACTCTAAACCTTAAATCATATCACAAAAACTCTAAACTCTAATATATAAACCCTAAACCATAAACTAAAAACCTTAAATCATATCACATAAACCTTAAATCTTAAACTCTAAACTCTAACCCCTAATATATAAACACTAAACCCTAAACTATAAACCTTAAATCCTATCACATAAACTTCAAACCATAAACCCTAAACTCTAAATCTTAAATCATATCACATAAACTCTAAACCCTAAACCTTATAACATAATTAGAAGGAATGAGATGACTTAGTGAAAGGAGAGAGAGTATACTTTTTTTGATATTTTTTAAATTATTAATATTTAAATTGAATCATATTTTTTTATTATATTATATTTATTATCAAATAAAAAATTAGTTATGAGGTAAGTACAATATAATATATTGATATTAAATGCTCAAACCCTTGATATTTATGATATTTGAACTCGAAACCTCAAAATATAACAACAATTTAAAAAATTAGTTATTACAAATATTATCATTAGAAATATATTAAATATTTGTCAATAGATAAATAATTTTTTTATTAATTTAAAATAAATATAAGAAAATTTATTCAAAAATAATTTTTAACCATTTTCATTCAAGAATATTTATTAATCAATAATGTATTTTTAATATATTTTTAATAATGTAATTTTAAAAAATCTAAAATTATAATATAACATTTTTTCGAACTGCTCACGAGCTTTTCGAGTCGAGTATCGAGTAGCTCATTTCGGCTCGTTAAGAACTCGAGTCGAGTTCGAGCTCGAGTCGAGTCCATTCGATCCGAGTATTTATCGAGCCAAGATCGAGTCAATCTCGAGTAGCTCGCGATCTGTCTCGTCTCATTTACAGCCCTATACCCAGCAAAGGGACCCAATCCCGCTCTCCACATCTATAAAGTATGTCTGAAGTGACATTCCAAGAAGCTCGCCATAAAACATCACCATCTCTGATATCTTTGAAGATAACCATCAATTTCTCTTCTGTAAAACCTCCAGGCCAATCTTTTGAAAGGAAATCTTTCAAAGGTGAAAACCCATCAAGAAATACTCGACCTGGTGCCCTTTCGACATGCTTGAAATGACTGAGGATCCACACTAACAATAAAGGTGCACATCCTATAAAGCGTCTTTCTCCTTCTTGCCTGCAAGAACTCAAAGAACGAAACGTCTCTGCTAGGATGGCGGGGACGGGATCCACATTCCTGTCTAATCTTTCGAACAGGTCAACAACCGATATGTCTACATACCCTAGCACCTTTGGGAAGATAACGAGTCCATAAATTCCTAAAGCCAGCATGTCAAGCTTCTTTCTCTGATCAGGATGACAATTGATTATCTTTTTCAGAGCGGACCAAGGGAAGCACTCACTATCTCCTTGCTTCTTAATATTTTTAACAACCCAATCCTAACTCATTCCAGTTATCGATAACAATTTCTTCTTGAACGAAGGAGTGACTGGGGGCTTGGTATAAACTCTATCCACTTAAGCTCTCGGACACCGGATCAAAGCTTGATATTCCTATTGTAGGCGTCAGATCCACCAAACGTAAAGCAGCTATAAGCGGGATTCCAAAATTGTGCTAGGGCTCTGAACAGATTTCGATCAACGGGAACCTCCAGAAGATAAGGTATATCTCCATATAATTAACAGAACATCTCTTTGTCGGCTGCTTCGCATCCTACCCATATATCCCTTAGCTCATTCAAAACATTCTGACGTACATTGATGTGAGTGTAGTCAAATAACTCTGATATGTGCCCAGGCGTCAAACTATCTCCATTGGTCAATTGTGACCGCTTTGACCATCTCAGAACATCTGCATTGTCTGCAACCTCTTTGTGAACCTTTCATTCCATATTCTGGCCTTCTATATGGACATCGACCCCCAAATCAACACCATGAAATGGATAATGCAATGCAAAACAAAAGAATTAAAACAAAGACAAAAGGAAATCAGTTAGTAAACATAAATCAATTAATCAGAGCTAATAATTTGTCAAATAAACCTACCCTCACATGATGACTACCCAATAATTCTTTATCTTTTCCTACCCGACATGATATCTACCCCCATGCTTTTTCTTAAACATTAAAACCCTAACCACATGATATCTAGTTCAAATGCATTTATTCACAAAAACGAAAATAAATGACCCAAACGGCTTTTCCTTGTGTACACTCCTCACGGGTCTCTTAAGGTTCGGGTTAGGCTTGACCTAAGTTCAGGCTCTATGTTCACTGCATGTTGGGTTCGGTTCTAAAGTATTAGGTTCTCGAATTGTCCTTGTCGGTGCCCCCTTGGGCTATCGAACCCTTAATCCTGGCCCATCATAGGCTTTAGGGATCGAGTTTAACTTCGAGGGAACACACCTCCGATGTCCATGCGGAGGTGAATACCATCACGAGGACCATAAGGCGTGAGCTCCAGGAGCGGTCCACTATCCCATGCGGAGGTGAAAACCACACGAGGGAGTAGTTTCTCACTCCTACTTAAATAGGACAGAGCGGGGTTTTAGCTCATGTTATGCAAATGCAACTGTGCAGTGTGTGAGGAAAAGCGAAAATAAACAACATATATCACAAAACACTCAAAAATCAACCCTCTTTCCACACATAAATAATCTGAAACCATTAGCAAACAGATCAGTACAACTATTTATTCGTTAGACAAAAATATGAACAAAAAGATACTGAAACCAAACACATGATCGAAAACCAAATTAAAACGAATTTATAACTTTCACTTGCAAAGACAATTAATTAATCGACTATAGGCTTAACTCTCTAAAAAAACTCCCCAGCGGAGTCGCCAAGCTGTCGAAACGATTTTTAAACCTTTGTGGGAGCGAGATTTTGAAAATCGCATCATTTTTAAATTATGATCTTTATGTTTGATTTTTTTATTAAAAATAATGTGATTTTAGAAAACCTCTCGTTTCGAAAATTTGGGAATTTATTCATGATAAAAACACAGGTTCGAAGAGTCACCACCAATCTTTGATTAGGGTGTGATTGGACACCCAAAAACGTTGTCATTTTAAATAAAAATTAATTTTAATTAAAACCACAAATTTAGGTCGCGTTACCAAAAATGAGTTCGGGAGTCAATTACGCGTGGGGAAGGATTAGCACCCCCACAGCGCCTAAATCGGTACCTCGTCGATTAATTAATTTCTTTGCAATAAAATTTGCAAATTCGATTTTAAATTGGTTTATGATCCCCGACAAAACAACATATGAATTTTACAACATTCAAAAGCACCAAAATAGATTAAATTAAAATTACCCAACCTTTAGAAAGATAAAGAATGTTCGATTATTTACATATGCCGAGACCAGATCTTAAACAGTTATAACAACCTTTTCTCGATAAATTTAAATAGCCGAACATTTCTTTTTCTTTCATTCCCAAATTTTAAAATGATAAATCCATTTCTTAGGTGTCACTGATGGGATACACTTTTATTTTAAAATCGTTTAAAGCGGATATCTAATCAGTTAAGACAACCCACTTAAAACAATTTTAAATTAACATAATATTACCCTTAATCAAATTATGTAATAATTTCGAGTTATGCACGTGAGACTAACATGCAAACACTAAGTAAATAATGCCACATATTAACAAAACATTTAAGCTTAAAGTAACCCAATCACTTGCACACATGACTAATCGGCAAACATGATAATGAAACCTTAATATTTTAAAATTATAAAATTTTATTATTACCATATTAACATACATGTGATAAATGGGTTTCATACTAAATTAACTAATAACTAAGATATAATATTAATTTTATTAATTTACAAGGCCTAAAATACAATTGGGTGATATGGTACATACATGCATTAAAGTAAAACAACATAAAATTAAATATGCTATTAATAACTCAAGTCTCATATTTAAAATTTCCATAGAGGACCACCATGAAAGAAAATTAAACTAGGCATGCAAAAATATAAATTAACCACTGAAATGAGTAAATCTGTTGAGTGACTAAAATGCTAGGCAACCAAAATTACAGGGTACATTCAAAAAAAACACAAAATGAAGAACAACATAACTTAAGGACCAAAACAAATACGCTGAAAATAACAAGGCACAATCAGAAACCAGTAAAGTTTGATTCAGACCAAAAAAACTCTCTCAAAATATAGGAACCAATTTAATAAAAGAAACCTCGATTTAGTGACCCAAATTCAATAATTGAAACTAACGGACCCTCAACGAGATTGACCACTTACCCTAAAACCCGGTTCTCCCCCTGCTCATCAAAACGATGCCGTTTTGGAGCTTGCTAAACGGTGCGTTTTGGAAACTACATATATTAGACACCCTAGGTTTAATTTTAACCTAATTTTATTCTACTC